CTGGTGGGTACAGCGGAGTGAGACACCGCGCAAACCTGGGTGGGACCTCGCAGTTCCTGAGGGGCTGCGGTCTGCGAAACTGTCGCCAGTTTTGAGGGGTGCTGGTGGGCTCGCCACTTTCGAAAGCTGCTGGTGGGTCCAGCGGAGTGAAGCACTGCGAAAGACCTGAGCGGGACCTCGCCGTCCCTGGGGGGCCATGTCATGCTGTTGCTGCCCCGCCGACGTTTCACCCCCCTTGCCCACAGTCTCCTTTTGGACCTTGCGTCTTCCTTTGTGACTGAGGGGTTCACTTAGGTATTCCTCGTTCTCCCCTTGATTGGGGACCTGCGAACCTTCCGAATGCCGCTCGCCAAAGTAGATGCGTCCATGTAACGTCGCCGCCTTCTCGTCAAATATCCCAAGATACTCCAGCCCCGCATTGCGCAGGGGTTGGGTACGTCGCTAATGTTAAGTCGGCGGTGCGAAGGAACCTCAGGCGCGGTCGGCAGGTGGAGGTGCCAAGCGCGAGCGAACTTAGTCGAACGCGCCATGATGAAATAATTCAGCCACGGCCATGCAGAACGGTGGTGGGAGAAATGGGGCAGTGTAGAGCCAAAGTGCAGCGGCCAATCATCCCACGGAGCGAAACTCGACGACAGGAGTTGAAGCACGAGTAGCAGTCTGGACCGAATTAGCCAGTGAGCCAGCGAAGAGCACGATAGTTCGACTCAAGGTAACCTGAAACCGGTACAATTTACAACCTGTAAGGCTGCCAGATCAGCTGATTGGTGGGGCAACGCAGACTGCAATGGCCTCGCGAGACGATGGGTAAGGTGCTACCCTACGAACCGGCAGCGCGAAACGATGGCATGGGTGGAGCGCTAGACCTACAGGCCGCGGCAACACCACGCCAACGAACCCGACGCTGAGACAGAGTAGATTGGTGGTGACGGAACGCAGCACACGTTTCAATACGCACATGCGCTGCCGAAACCAACCGAATTCGACATGCCGTACAACTCCTGGCAGATAGCCAAACCACCAAGAGAGGCCAGTGTCAGCGATGCGTCCAGGAGGGCCGAAAACAAGCTGCAAACCGAAATCGATTGGCGAGGTGCCGACCGAACAGCACGATCAATACGCGAGGTGCACTGTGCGCACTGGCGTCCAAGTCGCCGCCAGATCTACTAAAGACGTCCCATATAGAAGGAGAACAAAGGAACAGGAAGAAACGCATGGACACAACAGAGGCGTAGCACGCCGGCGAAGACCGCCAACGTGCATGCAAAAATGGCTCAAACCCCCGCGGCGGGGACGGCCTGGAAGGAGAGGGAGGGGGCGGGGCAAGCACGGGCAGAGGCAGGATGGGGGGCCCCGAGAGACGACGGCGGGGGGCCCCGCGACGCGGCCCAGCCCGCGACTGACCGACGACGACGACCGAACGACCCCGCGACCCGCGAGGAGGAGGAGGGGGGACCGACGAACCATCGCGGTGGGGGGCGCCGCCTGAGGGTGGCGGGAACGCCGCGCCACAACCAACGGAAAACATACCGCCACAGGGCCTAAGGCCAGAAGTGGCGAAGCAAGGGGGAGTGAAACGCGGCAAAATCAGGAGGTGACAGACCTGCGCGCGCACAAAGCGACTAATCGCAGAGCGTGGGTGGGGGCAAGGCGTAGCCTCAAACTAGCTCGCGCCGTCGTTCGCAGCGCGATGTCGCCCTCGACCAGAGCGACCGATGGTGTGTCCAAGGGCAAAACAGCGACAGATCGGTGCTTGTCCAGTGCTTGGCCGCCCAACGCAGGAGACTGCGCCATGCCGCCCTGCTCGCTCGCTGCGGGGGAACCGCGCAGGAAGCCAGCGCCGCGCCACCGTGGGTCCAGCGCGTCGCCGCCGTGCTGCGCGCAGTGAACTCTCCAAGCTATCTTGCTCTGGCCCCCAAGCCGCTTGACGCGGGCCGCGAGCTGTTCTTTGGAGGCGCCCGCCAGGCCAGCCAGGTGTCCAGCCGAGTCAGGGTCCTCGGCTGCTGCGGGATGGCCAGTCGGGCCCGCCGAGGCTGGCGGTGCGCCAGGGCCAGCCGTCTGCCGCCCGCGCATTGGCAGGGAGGATAGGAAGTCGATCGCGACCTCTCGTGGGACCATTTCCTGGCGAGGTCGACCCTTCCATTGCTTTCTGTAGTCCCAGCGTTCGCGAGTCCGCGGGGAGTCAGCCCACGCCCCCTTGACCACACGTCAAAAGTCGCCCTGCGCTTGCCAGGCGAGGCGAGGTCTGTTTCCAGGCGGTGCATCCGCAGCCGGCGCGTGTGTCACGCGCGCGTGCGTCTGTCGCGCGCCGCTGCCTCTGCCGCCCGAAGCGACGGCTGCCGGTCTGCAGCGCGCGACGCGGCCGCCAAGACAGCTGGCGCGGGAGGAGGGCTCTGGGCCTCCGTCCGCGCGCCAGGGTCGCCCGCCGCTATGCTGTCCGAACTATGCGCGCCGCACCCACCGACCCACCCACCCACGCACGCACGCAGTCACGCGCGCG